GGAACGGGAACGGGAACGGGAACGGGAACGGGAACGGGAACTGGAACGGGAACTGGAACGGGAACTGGAACGGGAACTGGAACGGGAACTGGAACGGGAACTGGAACGGGAACTGGAACGGGAACTGGGGCGGGAACAGGAACAGGAACGGGAACAGGAACAGCCTTGAGTTCGTCCACTTCAACAGGGTCTTTCGTTGCCAGTGGTGCAACTGTTGCCCCCACATCAGCCACAACACTGGTTGGCAGCAGTGCAACTGCTGCGGCTCCATCCACAACTACGAACTCAACAACATCCGTCGCGACGCAAACTGCGACCAGTTTAACCCCTGCTCTCGTGCTCACCACTACAGGAATTGCGAGCAATACAACCGCTGCCCCGATATCCGCCGCGACACTGGAGTCCAGCAGTACAGCATCCACTGTAACAGGAAATGCGAGAGATACGACTGCCACAACATCCACAACAGGAACTGTGAGCAACACAGCTGCTGCAACATCCACAACAGGAACTGTGAGCAACACAGCTGCTGCAACATCCACCACAGCAGAAGCCCTCATCAGTACAATTTCTGCTCTCACCTCCACATTATCAGATGTCAACAGTACGTCTGCTGCAACATCCGCAACAGGGGCTGTGAGCAACACAGCTGCTACAACATCCACAACAGGAACTGTGAGCAACACTACTGCTGCAACACCCGCCACAGCAGGTGTCGTTATCAGTCCAACTTCTGCACTCACCCCCACCACAGCATCAGATGTCAGCAGTACATCTGCTACAGCATCCACAACAGGAACTACGAACAGTACAGCTTCTGCTGCATCCATTACAATAGGATCTGTTAGCAGTGCTGCTAATACCCTCACCTCCACCACAACATCAGATGTCAGCAGTACAATTGCTTTAACATCCACAACAGGAGCTGCAAGTGATATAGTCGTTGTCCCAACATCCGCCGCAACACTGGAGCCCAGCAGTACAACAGGTACAGCATTCACCACAACAGAATCTATTACAGCAGCGACCTCCACGTCCACAACATCAGATGCCAGCAGTACAGCTACTGCAACACCCTCAACAGAAACTGTAAGTATTACAACTGGTACAACATCCACCACAACAGGAATTTTCAGCAGTACAACTGCTGCTGTCACGTTCCCCGTAACAACGGATACCAGCACTACAACTGCTGCTCTCACGTCCCCCATAACAACGGATTCCAGCACTACAACTGCTGCTCTCACGTCCCCCATAACAACGGATTCCAGCACTACAACTGCTGCTCTCACGTCCCCTGTAACAACGGATTCCAGCACTACAACTGTTGCTGCCACATCTACTACAACAGGAACCACTAGCAGCCCAACTTCTGAGTCTACATCGACCACAACGGTAGCAACCCCTGCTCTTGTATCCACTGCGACAGTGGGCAGCAGTAGTACAACTGGAAAACCTTCGACTTTCTTCGGGAGAGTAAGTCCTATTCCTGCTGATGAGCTGTGTAAATCTCATCACTGAATTATTTTGATTTGATACTTTTTTCACAGAGGAAGAGATATGCACCAAGCAGTGGGACAACGTTAGAAACAAATTATACTCAGGGAAGCAATCCTTATCCCTCTGGAAGCAATCCTAATCCCTATGGAAGCAATCCTTTTCCCTCTGGAAGCAATTTTGGTGGAAACGGTCCGGTGGACATTAGCTCTGCAACCGATGAATACTTGAAAGTGAGTGCCTTACCAATAGTGTTCGACTCAAAGTTAATATTGGATTTAAAAAAAATTATTTATTCCCCCCCTGCAGACAAACCCGAAGAGTGCTAGGTCCCTTGCATTATTAGACACCCAGTATTTTGCTTCGTAATATTAAGCATGTTTTTGTATGAGAATTTCGCATGCATAGTACGTGGAGATGATGGAAGCCTTCTCCAGAGTGGATGACTCACTAAAGCAAAGAATCACGTCTTCGCTGAAGAATCTAATCTGGAGATGCACCTTTCAAGGAACCAACTGTTTGCAGGACGGGTGAGTTCTATCGGAGAGTAGTGTGTCTTACGTTTGTTGTGTGTCTGTTGTTGGAATATCTTCGTGATCTGACTTTCCCGAGTTTTCTTAGATTATTAGGTGATGTTTAGCGAGTGTTAATAAGGAATATACAAAAAGAAAATTCAGGGCATCAAATCATTTTGGGCATGTAAAAATCTGTCCTCAAAGTTATACCTTTTCATCGAATCAAATTTTCGATGAGAGGGTTTGCAGACGACTTTCAGGCGACCCGGAACAGTCGGGAAGTGACTGATAACAGACACGAAATTCCAGTGGAGATCTTTTCCGCTTAAGAAAAAATCAAAATGTGAAAATTGACCTAAGTGTATCATTTCTATTTACTGATTTCTCTGAGTGAACCCAGAGTCTATGTTTATCGTGCTTTTGATGATTTCTCAACAAAAAAAGTCCATACTCAGTGAGTTCCACAGGTTGGGTAAAAGTTCTTTTTGCTGGCGAATCGCAGAACCCTTTAAAGCAGGATGTAGCATATAAGTTACATTCAATATAAAAAATGTTGCATAGATAGCGAGCTATGGCGGTAAGTTTGTTCGTAGCAGATGCGCGACAGTCCATTTTTTGTACTTAGGACCCCAGCGGTCGCTATGTACTCTACATTCCTGGTGGCAAGCAAATTACTAACACACGTCATCGTCGTGACTGACTTGTTGATGCAATAATTTTAAAATTAACGCTAACCCTTGGTCCAAGTTCATTCGTATTTTTACATTCAGTTTTGGGTTGAGGTATGTTGGAATTTTGACCGACAGACTCTCTAGTCTCCATGTAGTGTGAATTAGAAAGTTGAAAATGTTTGTAGCAAATGTGCAACGATAACATTTTCGGATCTACTACTTACTTATTGGAGAAAGGAAAATTTTTCCCACTTTTCCCGTGTTCTATAGGACCTAAGTAAAAACTTTCCTTATTACTTTCGAAGAAAAATAAAAAATCATGCATTAAAGGGTTAAGGTACTTCTGGGAATTTATCTATTCATTGTCTCTGAATTAAATGGTATATGATGTATTCCAGGCATTACCAAGTATGATCAATTCCACTAGCGAGATTCAAACTCTGCAAGAAAGTTGAAGCCAGTGAAATCGCTGCTGAACCTAATGCCCGATTCCTCACACGTCAGTTATTCGCCGGCACAACAATGTAACATATTTTAATTGCTCGATCGATGAAGTGCTTAAGTGGTAGCATCGTACCAAGAGAGTCAAGAGCATTCCCATGATTGTGGATAGCATGGTGAATGGAGCGCAGACGGCTGCATATCGCTTTTCTAACTCCTTCTAACACTATTTGATGACGCTCGTCCCCTGATAAAAAAAAACAGGAATGCATGTTGTGCGATGCGCCTCATTCGATTTCTGGGAAAATTATGATTATTGATGAGAGAATATGAGTATGATAAATAGTCTACTTTTTGAAATTGGCCATGTTGAACAACGCTTATTAAGTGCTAGAGATATACATGAAGCGCCATCGACTGACTTTGTACCCCTCCAAGTTCGATGGTAGCATGACCATTAGATCATCAGAACACAGCTTGTCTTGGAGGAAACACAAGTTAAATTCAGCTTCGTGAGATACAGCGTTTTTCTTGCAGGTTTTTCCAGAAGATAACGACGCCCCAATACGGTGCTTGTTACATGTTCAACACAGCCTGGAATCCGAACGATTCAAATGGAGGACAAAGAATATCAGGCAAAACTGGAGAGGAAACAGGTCAAAAGGAATAATATGAACGGCGCCTTCTCATGTGGCTTCTACTAACTTTGTTTCATTTCCGAGCAGGCTTGTCACTGGAAGTGTTTATAGACCAGACGAACTACATGAAGAACACGATTTCAGCGAGTGCCGGAGCCCGTGTCACCATTCATTCCCCGGACCAATTGCCGAATCCTGTGGAACAGGGATACTTCGTTCAACCCAACACTCACACTGTCTTTGGTTTACAAATTGTAAGGATGAAAATGATTTGAAACTCACCTTCTTTTCCTCCATTTCGGCCAATTTACATACGCCTCAAACATCCTCACGCTTTCAGGTGAACATGTCCAGGTTGTCGAGTCCCTACGTCACCAACTGCATTTCGAACTGGACTGAGACCGACTTCGAACCCCTTCCTTCTGGATTTAATCAAAATATCAGCAATCAGAATTTCAGCTTCGGGTACAGTCAAGTCGTGAGTCAACTTCTCTCCTAGATTATGTATTATTACACCGTTCCTCGATAACTTGACTGCACCTTCGAAAGCTTCTGTACTTTTCCTACGTGTGGACAAGAAGCAGAAAAATTTCCATTAAGTTTTGACTTTATGTGGATACATTTTTTCATACTTTTTTATAGCAATGCGAAAGGCTGCGACTAACGGCCGAAATCGCCGACATCCATCGCAGCAATCCCCTGCCTTCTCCGTTTGATTCCTATGAATCCCGCCCGAGGCCCCCTCCACTTTCCCTTAGACGAGGAGGTCGATTCTGTCAGTTGATTGATCGATCGATTGATTCTGGCCAGTTGAGTTCCTTGCAGCCTCGGTCGGCTTGAGTCGGGGTCCCGTTCGCTACGGTTTCGTGATCAGAACCTTAAATGCACCGGGTGACTGGCGCTTCCTGTAATTTCTTGCGCTACCAAGTCCGAGAAATACAAATTCGATCCCCGTACGATCAATAATCATTCGGCAGTAGGCGAAACTAGAGAACTCGCTCTTTCTGTAGGTATATTCTAAGGCAATTTTCTGATATTTTCCCAAGAGCAATGTGAAATTTCATTCAAATTCATTGTGCTAAGAGAAGGCTAGGAGCAAATATTCGGAAGAAATTGAATACGTCCGCCGGTTCCGGTAGCCGAACGGCTGGCCTTTTCTTGCAAATTACTTTTAATGCTTGATGAGCTTTTTCCAGTTAATAACTGGTTAATCAGCAGATATCAATGTAGATGTTTCTTCAAAATTTAATTCGCTCGCTTGCGAGATTCTGGTCACTCTAGAATGAACTCCAGTCCTCGTCATTTTATTACGTCACATTTATTTTGAATAATCATTGGACTGCGATGAAACGAATTTGAATTAATTGTCAGATGGTGTTGGGAACATGTCGTTCTATGCCTGTTGCAAGTTTTTTGCATAAGCTCTAGTAGGAACAGAGAAACATGGATTAATTTTCCCCGCATCTTGCATACTCCGCGCTGGAGATGCAATCCACGATTCCCCGATGCAAAACCTCGATAGGATTGCGGCAAAAACCGTTCCGAATTCTCTGACTTTCATAAGCACTTCGACTTCGACGCAATGAAGGGGGGTTTCCATGCTTCAAGTCAATAAATCAATTCACTAACGAAGGCGAGAACGGGGCAGAATTTAAATTCGAACCGGGGAATCTATCGCCAGGGATGGTTACCAGAAAGCAATTTCAGAAACTCACAGTCCCTAACCAGGAAGGGCCGAACTTCTGGGGAGAAATCGCATGATGCTCTTGGAGCCAGCCTTGAATGATTTCGCGGGAAGAAAGGGGTCGTTGAGACCACGTGACCACTGGTGTTGCAGGGAAAGCGATCATTATCGCAGTCGCGCCTATCACTGTACCTTGCTTCAACCCCTTCCCGTATCAAAATTCAATCTCCTCGTGTCCCTTTGAGAGATCAACAGGAATGAAGTTGGGCATGTTTCTTCCTCGCTCAACACTATCACTCCAGCAAATTTGAATTTACTGATGCACACTTATTCCAGAACCATGAATAAACCACTATTATTATTTATTTTTATTTATTTATTTTGCTATTGAAATCTTCAATCAAACGTAATTTAATTACTTCATATTGAGCTAAAATATATGATTTTGCCATATAATTTGCATATAATACTTTTTCGACTCCGACACTGGTCATTGACCACAGTCTTACCGCGAGATTGAGGACTCGATTACGCTTCTATTGCTAGAAGCGACATCTATTGCTAGTGTTAAAAGTACTACTTTTCTGAGCGCCAACAGGGTCCATTGAAAAGTTTGGAGCCCATGTTAACGGGGGTTAAAGTCATTCCGGAAACACTGTCTGCAATTTTTCTTTTCAAGTCGACTTGCAAAGAAAGCTTTCATGGTGAGGACATCTCTGAAAGTTATCTTTCAAAAGCCTTTCTTTTGCAATATTCTTTCATCGTTCATGCGAGAAAACTTTCCGGTGAGGATGAGGCCTTAAACGTCCTCTGAAATGATCATAGAAAGTTTGAATAGGCCTGCAATAGACCTTACGTTACACGTCCTCAATTAGATGTCTCCAAGACCATGGATTGAAGTCCTAGTTGGCCCCGCAAGACGAGAATGGAGTTCATTTTGAAAGAAAAAGGTAGGCTTTGGCGTGACCAGAAGGCAGTCCGTCGGTTTTGCCTGGGTCTAACGTTTGTGAGTCATCGTAGAGAATAGGCGGGGTGGGAGGGTTTGAAGTGGAAGGTCTTTGAAAATGGTTTTCACATTACTTCACATCTTGATTCACACAGAAGTCGAGACACCGAGATAACATAGACTTTAAGGAGGCTACATTTATCTTTTAAAATTTTCGGTTTGTACCACTGGCGATTTCCGGCGATCCAAACATTTCCACAAATGTTTTAATGATTCCGTTTCCAAAGATTCCTTGAGCACAAGCTAGGACAGCAAAAAAGCAAGTGAGGTAGTTCTCATGCCCACACGCTTCGAGGCTTTTACTCTATCACTCATGATCGACTTAATTAACTCGGAAAGAAAGAACCAGAACATGATGAAGAATTTCAGAAAGGAAATTTCCGGAAGAGCGAGGAACAATCGAGACTGGAGGCACACGATTTAAAACGCACGAATGAGCAGGCTTTCATGCTTGCACCAGCCAATCGCGTGCATCTTGGGGCGGAGCCTACTGGCATTGACATTCGGGGTCCGCCGAGGCCAGACAGTTTGCTCAGGGAACAGTGGGCGATCTACCGTTGAATGCTCTCGTCGGCATGACATCTCTCTGTCGCTGATGGATGGATACGGTCAGCATTTTCCCCCGAACGGGAATCGGCCGAAGAGGAGTCTGTGGACGACCGTCAAGGGGAGTAGCCGGGATTTCTGGCTCTCGACCTCAATTCCGGGACTCACCAACGCCAGGAGACATAAAAATCCTGCTCCGAAACTGGTGAGTGTTACGTCACTAGAAATCATGTATCAAACTGAATGGGCTTTATATTAACATTTGCTTGCTTCTGTGGTTCAAGTTCATTGAAAATCATTGCGATTTTGTTAGTTTGGGAACGTAAATTGTTTGCTTAAAGGGAAATAGACACAACTCCACTCAATCAAATAAAATATTGGCATTACTTCGTGAGTCAAAACGAATTTTTTATTCGTAGACGAATTTCTTCCATAAAAATAGGAAATATTCAGCGTCGGGATAAAGACTAATGATTATTATGACAAGATAGGGTGTCAAAAATTAATTTTCTAGTTCCAGCATTGTTACCATAGGTTTTTAGATTTTTCTTCACATCTTTATTTAGCTATGGTTGACGATATTCCTTATTGGAGCGGCTCTCACGGTGTACTCGGGTTACCAAGTGGTGGCGGATTACCTTTCCTACCCGGTGATCACATACGTATCCATGAGCCACGCCCAAAAGATGCCTTTCCCTGCCGTCACCGTCTGCAACTCCAATCCTATAGTCTGCTACAAGCTGGCCCAGTTCCGAGATCAGCTCCCCGAATTGTGGATTGCATCTGGGTGTCAGATTACCTCTGCGATGTTCTCTAAAGTCACTACGACCCTGAAGGCATTGAATGCAACGGGATTCAAGGCAGCACTCGATCGGTAATTTCCAAGGCTCGTCTTCATTAAGTCAACGGTACACCAAAGCCAGTAAGCATAGACCTAGTCAGTCAAGAATCTGAAGAAGTCATTACCTGGCCTTACATACCGTCCACCTGCATCCATCCGACTGAACGACCACAAGGATAGGAGGAGGATTTGGTACCGTGAGGATGTTCCATCTGGTCATCGTGTACGCATTTCTAGAGCCTGGTGGATGTTACCCCCTTGTGTATTTTTAACCGAGTGGACATGGCTCCAACAGGTGGAAATGCACTTAAGGGAACCTGGTTCTAAATCCACCCTCCAGATTGACGTCTTGAGATTAGCAAAACTTAAAGCTCAGAGTCTTGAAGATGTCTAAAGAAATTATTGGGCAGCTTGCATTCAATAATAGTAAAATGGAAACTGATTTACTGGACACTGAAGTCACGGTATTTGGTTCATTATTAGTTAATTCAATTATCTCTATTTGCTGTGAAACATTGTCATTATCATTTGCTCATTAAACAGAGACAACAAATCCGAGCTTTAACCTCCGGAAATCTTAAATTCGAATACTACTCCTTGTTCTACGAATAGGCCCAAAGACTCAGCCAAGGTGATGGTGGACTGGTTTTAGCCATTTAGGGAATATGATTTGAGAAAAGGAGTGCTGCAACGAGCACCTATCACCTCGAGCGTCGGAGGAGTACCTAAAAAATTGCAATTAAACTTCGTTACCCTGATACTTTTAGGCTTGAAAAGTCTTTTAAATGTTCATTCAATTGATTTTGTCCAAAGAGAACAAAATCCAAAGAGAACAAAATTAAGTATCATGAAAAGCAGAGTCATGCGTTATGAGTATTTCTTAAACGATTTATTTTGTCTTTGGATGCAACTTTAAATCATTGCAATTCATTTCGCCGATGGTACTTCCTGGTGAATTGAGTTTTTTCCCAGAAAGAAATTGCAATTCGGCAGAATAATCGCTTCTTATGTGATCGATTCAATACGAACGTAATTTTTTCAAGACAGAGTGAGTTGTCGTGATGTTGCAGGTACTTGCAAGGAGAAGTGAGAAACATGACCGACTTGGTATTTACCATAGTGGATGGAAACTACTCGTATGCAAACAAATTGACGTCTCTGCTGAATTTTATTCCTGGGAATGATACTTCGCCTCAATTGCATTTGCTTCTCGACGCTCTTTTGTGTGCGGACTCTGCGGCTTTCAAGGCTGGGAACGGCAGCAAGGCCTTTGATACTCTCATATCCTATGCGAACGGTACTTCTACCTTATCTTGATGCTATTGATCCTTGAAAAATTTTAATGGCCTCAGATTCGAAATTCAATGTTGCAGATGTTGCGACAGGAGGAACATGTCAAAGCACAGGAACAGGAACGGGAATGGGAACAGGAACGGGAATGGGAACAGGAACGGGAATGGGAACAGGAACGGGACCGGGAACAGGAACGGGAACGGGAACCGGAACGGGAACGGGAACAGGAACGGGAACTGGAACTGGAACGGGACCGGGAACTGGAACAGGAACGGGAACTGGAACTGGATCGGGAACAGGAACGGGAGCAGGAACGGGAGCAGGAACGGGAGCAGGAACGGGAGCAGGAACGGGACCGGGAACTGGAACAGGAACGGGAACGGGAACAGGAACGGGAACAGGAACAGGAACAGGAACGGGACCGGGAACTGGAACGGGAACAGGGACAGGAACGGGACCGGGACCGGGACCGGGAACTGGAACTGGAACGGGAACAGGAACGGGACCGGGAACTGGAACTGGAACAGGAACGGGAACGGGAACAGGAACGGGAACGGGAACAGGAACGGGAACTGGAACTGGATCGGGAACAGGAACTGGAACAGGAACTGGAACAGGAACGGGAACCATAACTGGAACAGAAACCGGAACAGGAACTGGAGCTGTCTTGAGTTCGTCCACTTCAACAGGGTCTTCAGTTGCCAGTGGTGCAACTGTTGCCCCCGCATCAGTCACAACACAGGTCGTCAGCAGTGCAATTGCTGCGGCATCCACAACTACGAACTCAACATTCGTCGTGACGCAACTTGCGACCAGTTTATCCCCTGCTCTCGTGCTCACAACAGGAATTGCGAGCAATACAACCGTTACCCCGATATCCGCCGCGACACTGGAGTCCAGCAGTATAGCATCCACTGTAACAGAAAATGCGAGAGATGCGACTGCTACAACATACACAACAGGAACTGTGAGCAACACAGCTGCTGCAACACCAGCCACAGCAGGTGCCGTTTTCACTCCAACTTCTGCATTCACCCCCCCTACAGCATCAGATGTCAGCAGTATATTTGCTGCAGCATCCACAACAGGAACTACGAGTAGTACAGCTTCTGCTGCATCCATTACAACTGGATCTGTTAGCAGTGCTGCTAATACCATCACCCTCACAACAACATCAGATGTCAGCAGTACAATTGCTTTAACATCTACAACAGGAGCTGCAAGTGATATAGTCGTTGTCCCAACATCCGCCGCAACACTGGATCCCAGCAGTACAACAGCTGCAGCATCCGCCACAACAGGATCTATTACAGCTGCGACCTTCACGTCCACAACATCAAATGCCAGCAGTACAGCTGCTGCAACAACCACAGCAGAAATTGGGAGCAGTACAACTGGTACAACATCCACCACAACAGGAATTTTCAGCACTACAACTGCTGCTCTCACGTCCCCCGTAACAACGGATACCAGCACCACAACTGTTGCTGCCACATCTACTACAACAGGAACCACAAGCAGCCCAACTTCTGAGTCTACATCGACCACAACTGTTGCTGACACATCTACTACAACAGGAACCACAAGCAGCCCAACTTCTGAGTCTACATCGACCACAACTGTTGCTGCCACTGCTCTTGTATCCACTGCGACAGTAGGCAGCAGTAGTACAACTGGAAAACCCTCGACTTTCTCAGGGAGAGTAAGTCCAATTCATGCTGATGAGCTGTGTAAATCTCATCATTGAATTATTTTGATTTAATACTTTTTTTCACAGAGGAAGAGATATGCACCAAGCAGTGGGACAACGTCAGAAACAAATTATACTTGGGGAAGCAATCCTTATCTCTCTGGAAGCAATCCTTATACCTCGGAAAGCAATTATGGTGGAAACGGTCCGGTGGACATTAGCTCTGCAACCGATGATTACTTGAAAGTGAGTACATTACCAATGGTGTTTGACTCAAAGTTAAAATTGGATTAAAAAAAAAAAAAATTTATTCCCCCACTCGCAGACAAACCCGAAGAGTGCTAGGTCCCTTGCATTATTAGACATCCAGTATTTTGCTTCGTAATATGCATGTTTTTGTATGAGAATTTCGCATGGGTAGTACGTGGAGATGATGGAAGCCTTCTCCAGAGTGGATGATTCATTGAAGCAAAGAATCACATCTTCGCTGAAGGATCTAATCTGGAGATGCACCTTTCAAGGAACCGACTGTTTGCAGGACGGGTGAGTTCTATTGGAGAGTAGTGTGCATTACGTTTGTTGAGTCTGTTGTTGACATCTCCTCGTGATCTGACTTTCCCGAGTTTTCTTAGTCTATTAGGTGATGTTTAGCGTTAATAAGGAATGTTAATAAGGAATATACAAAAAGAAAATTCAGGGCATCAAATCATTTTGGGCATGTAAAAATCTGTCCTCAATGTTATACCTTTTTATCGAATCAAATTTTCGATGAGAGGGTTTGCAGGCGACTTTCAGGCGACCCGGAACAGTCGGGAAGTGACTTATACCAATCGAAATTCCAGTGGAGATCTTTTCCACTTAAGAAAAAATCGAAATGTGAAAATTGACCTAAATGTATCATTTCTATTTACTGATTTCTCTGAGTGAACCCAGAGTCTACATATATCGTGCTTTTGATGATTACTCAACAAAAAAGTCCATACTCAGTGAGTTCCATATGTTGGGTAAAAGTTCTTTTTGCTAGCGAATCGCAGAACCCTTTAAAGCAGGATGTAGCATATATGTTACATTCATTATAAAAAAATGTTACATGGATACCGAGCTATGGCGGTAAGTTTGTTCGTAGCAGATGCGTGACCGTCCATTTCTTGTACTTAGGACCCCAGCGGTCGCTATGTACTCTACATTCCTGGTGGCAAGCAAATCACAAACACACGTCATCGTCGTGTGACAGACTGACTTGTTGATGCAATAATTTTTAAATTAACGCTAATCCTTGGTCCAAGTTCATCCGTATTTTTGCATTCAGAGTTGCGTTGAAGTGTGTTGAAATTTTGACCGACAGACTCTCTAGTCTCCATGTAGTGTGAATTAGAAAGTTGAAAATGTTTGTAGCAAATGTGCAACGATAACATTTTCGGAACCAATACTTACTTATTGGAGGAAGGAATAATTTTCCCACTTTTCCCATGTTCTATAGGACCTAAGTAAAACCTTCCTTATTACTTTCGACGAAAAATAAAAAAATCATACATTAAAGGGTTAAGGTACTTCTGGGAATTTATCCATTCATCGTCTCTGAATTAAATGGTATATGATGTATTCCAGGCATTAACTAGTATGATCAATTCGTCAAGCGAGATTCAAACTCTGTGCAAAAAAAATTGGAGCCAGTGAAATCGCTGCTGAACCTAATGCCCGACTCCTCACAAGTTAGTTATTCGCCGGCACAACAATGTAACACATTTTAAATGCTCGATCGATGAAGTGCTTAAGCGATAGCATCGTACCAAGAGAGTCAAGAGCATTCCCATGATTGTGGATAGCACGGTGAATGGAGCGCAGACGGCTGCATTTCGCTTTTCTAAATCCTTCTAACACTATTTGTTGACGCTCGTCCCATGATAAATACAGGTTCAAGGTTCAAGGTTCAAGGTAGTTAGTGACATCAAGAGGCGATTTCGCCCATTTCGATCTCACGTGTCGAGGTCGAGCGTTCCTTAATTTTAGGGTAGGATTTTCCAGAAGATAACGACGCCCCAATACGGTGCTTGTTACATGTTCAACACAGCCTGGAATCCGAACGATTCAAATGGAGGACAAAGAATATCAGGCAAAACTGGAGAGGAAACAGGTCAAAAGGAATAATATGAACGGCGCCTTCTCATGTGGCTTCTCCTAACTTTGTTTCATTTCCGAGCAGGCTTGTCACTGGAAGTGTATATAGACCAAACGAACTATATGAAGAACACGATTTCAGCGAGTGCCGGAGCCAGAGTCACCATTCATTCCCCGGACCAATTGCCGAATCCTGTGGAACAGGGATACTTCGTTCAACCCAACACTCACACTGTCTTTGGTTTACAAATTGTAAGGATAAAAATGATTTGAAACTCGTCTTCCTTGCCTCAATTTCGGCCCATTTACATACGCCTCAAACATCCTCACGTTTTCAGGTGAACATGTCCAGGTTGTCGAGTCCCTACGTCACCAACTGTGTTTCGAACTGGACTGAGACCGACTTCAACCCCCTTCCTTCTGGATTTAATCAAAATATCAGCAATCAGAATTTCAGCTTCGGCTACAGTCAAGTCGTGAGTCAACTTCTCTCCTAGAGCATTTATTATTATACTGTCCATCGATAACTTGACTGCACCTTCGAAAGCGTCCGTACTTTCCCTACCGTGTGAAAAGAGGCAGAAAATTTTCCACTAAGTTTTGACTTTGTGTGGAGAAATTTTTTCATGCTTATTGTAGCAATGCGAAAGGCTGCGACTAACGGCCGAAATCGCCAAAATTTGCAACTGTTGGAACCCTGAAGTCCAGGACTCTTTTCGCCACAACGGATCATCCTATCAAGGTCTCAGTCCGTGTAATATCAACGTCGGAGGTAAGGTGATAAATCAAAGAGAAATAAAAGCATTCCCGCCCGAAGTTCTCCAAAGAATATTATATTTCCAGCCGATGATCAGGTGTGCATTGTGAACGTGTCCTTAGCCCTCCAGAACAAAAGCATCGTCTGCGGTCCTCCCTGCAAGTGAGCCACTTTAACTCTCTCTCTTTAACGCTCTCATATCTCCATTTAAATATTCTCAAGTAAAATTTCATTGGAATTAAGGTACATCAAAATCTGAGAAGTTCGGGAAGACTACCTTGGGATATAGTCTCGTATCTGGATTCAGTAATCCCATTATCTGTTCGTTCAACCAACCCTGTTCAATCTTGTGAGACAAAATATGTCGGGAGTGACCAACACTAACGTTGCCTCCCTACACTAACAGTGTGGGATGGCTTCTGTTGATAACTTCCCTCCCCCCTTGCCCCTCCTCCGCGAGTAAACATCCGTGAGGAGGGTGGGGCGACGTCCAAAAGATAACCTTTACCCGGAAACAACATCGTTTGCACGGGGAGGAAGCACAACATATAGCAATTGAACCTCTGATGTTCGCGCTGTTCTTCGTCTTCCACAATGAAAAGCGATACGTGCTTCTCGTCGAACAAAATGGTTGCAGTTCTTTACTTTTCCAATAAAATTTCCAAAAGATGTGGATCACAAAGGGTGCCTGCGACCTGTTGACTAATAAATCTTGATCCGAAAAGTCAGGTGAAGGCATGTACCTTAGTATGTATAAAAATCGTTTAGACCAAAACTATGAATATTATCAGTCTCCGAGCTAAACTGCACCAAATGAAAAGATTTTTGTAGGTTTCCCACATCTTTCAGTGGAATTAGCATGACAATTTCTTTCTTTCCTTTTCCAGGGAAATAGCTTACGATGTCGCAGTATCCACTGCAACTTGGCCGTCTGATAGCTATTTTGTAAGCGAAGTCTCCGCAGTTTGAATTGCACCTATTCTAATTTGCTTACAGACGCCAAGTGGAAATCGTTTTTCATTTAAGGAGACGCTGTTGTCAATAGAGGCCAAAAGTCTTGGAATTGAAGATATCATAGATAAAGTTCTTAGTAGCCCGACGATGTCTACGTGTTTCAAGGAAAGCATCCAGAAGGACTTGATGAAAGTTGAGATCTTTTTCCGCTCCCTCAATCTGCAAATCATCGAGGAACAACCGAAATACGACGTAAGAGGGTTTACCAAAAGACTCTTTAAGGATTTCCAATGCCGATACGAAACGACTCAGTTTGGTTTCTGCTAGTTGAATGGACTGGTGAGCAACCTGGGAGGAGTAGTCGGGATCTATTTGGGGATGTGTGTCGTGATGCTCATCGAGATCCTGGAATTCCTCGCTTTTCTCCTCTACGACGTCATCCGGTATTTGCTAGGAAAGAATTCGCGAGATGAACAGCAAAATGGGGGCCTACACAAGAGCAAGGAGCTTGGAGCACCTCCCGCCAACAAATCCTACGATCAGATCATCGCCTCGATGTACCCTGTCTCTCAAGATCTCCCTCTTCCCGTTTACCATCGCAAAGTGTGGGGCAGTCAATGAGCAGTATGGATTGCATAACGAGAAGGCGAACGTATGAAATAAATATCATGCAGGAAGTGATTTGGTTAGAAACGATTTCCACACCTTTTCCCTAATTACTACTTACAACTATACTTGACCAAGTTTGTAAAGTACTAATTCCCCAGGTGTTTCCACGTAAAGCAGCAGGGCAAACATCCCTTAGAAGGATGGAGGAATGTCCAAATAATATCCTTGACGTCAGTGTTGCGATAATACACTTTGCAAAGGAACTCATGACGGCTAACAGCTAGGTAGTTTGTAGTTGTAGTGTATGACTGATGTAATTTCGTCAATTTTGTAAAGGTACACCCCCTCTACGCATTAATTTGATCTGAGGTATGACGTGGATAGAAACTGATTGTCCTTGAATGAGTTTAATTAAGCAGTGATTACGGAATTTCAAAATTTTCATGCACTCCCTAGTTTCTCGTAACTTGTGTACATTCGGCGTAAGCGTGTGTGTGTGTGTGTGTGCGTGTGCGTCTTCTTTCTACTATGAGTCCTGTGGTATGTATCTCCCGTGATCTTGCCTTGCTTTTACCCCCGTTCAGGTTCATGTCAGCGTTTTGCAAGTTTATCAATGTAAGCCTGGGCCTTCTTCTTTTAACCTTGTCTTCTTTTTGCCAGCTTTCTCGTCTAGAATATATATTTTGCGGAGCTGATCCCCTTCCGTCCTCCATACATGACCTTGGCCATGTATTTCCTTTCTCCATATAATATTCAAAATGTTTTTTTTTTTTTTTTCTGTGGTATTGGACAGTCTGATGATTTCATTGGTAACTTTGCATTACTATTGGCTACTGAGAAGTTTCCAGCTCATTTTCTGCTCAATTGTTGTTTCCTTGTTCTTTTCTTGTGCTCATATTTTCCAGATCTCACAGGAATAAAGGGCTATGGATTGACAAATATTCAAATGAGTCTTTGGTTTTGAGACCATTGCGCCTATTTTTCCAGAGTTTTTCCACTTTGTTGCAAGCAGCTGTTGCTTGTCCCAGCCTTCTACCTCGCTCGACCATTATTGTAGTGATTTCTCATTCCAATGCTGCTCCTATATCTTCAAATGGTCTGTTCTATGGAGGTGCCATTCAGCCTGATTTAAGCCTGTGAGTGTTGCGCGATAACTAGTACAGGGTGTTGCAAAACATTTTGCTGGGGGGTCCTAGGAAAAATTGAATACAGCACAAATAAAATCACTGCATCTAATTGAAAGTAATTCATTTCTGGCTCCAATGACACATTAACAGTTCTTTTGCCCGCCATTCGCCTGACATGTGGCCTGCAAAGGCGATCGGTATGATCGGAGTAGGTTTTCGAAGAGATCAGTCTCGTCTGCTTGGACGTCCTGATCGACTGTCATTAACGACACTCGTTCGTCCATTATGGAACCTTTCTATCTGCTAGTACACTTTTCGTTATCATACACATTTCACCATACTGAGCTGAAATTCGTTTCTGAATATCTGCTCTTCAACACCTTTCGACCACAAAAAACGGATTACAGACGCCTTCTCTTCCTTGATGCTCACAGAGAGCATACTCGCCATGTTGATTTGGGTTCCACTATGGCCACCAACGACATTCCCTCTAACTAAATCGCGTATTTTAAAATAAAATTGATCAGTCTTTGCACGGATTATGTGGTTTCCTAGGTATAGGCTCATATGGACGGCTTAAACAGGAATTGCCTTTACTTTTTGAAACACTCTCGTATTTTCCTGTTTTACCTTCAGTAACTGGTGTGGTCCATCATTGAGAATATGGATTCCTAATTTGATCGTAAAAATATTTGAATCTTCTCAACAGGAATTAGAATATACTGTATGTAGAAGCATTTACGTAAGCATGCGATACTTCGTGGGGATAGAAAGAAACAATTGGCACTGCTGTTGGCTCTGGGGCGGATCTTCTCGACACTGCAAGGCTTTCGAGAAGGTACCGTCTGATTCCATTCATTAGTATTGATCTCGTTATCATGAGTTCATCTCATTATCCGTAGCGTGAATTACGGCTCTGAATGCCAGAGCATTTGCGTGCATGAACTCCTAGGCACCTGCATAGTATTTGCTTTGGCGTGTCGCTCGCAGCCGACAGAGTGATCCCGAGGAATTGCGAAGAAATTTGCCGGTCACCTGAATCAACAGTCGTTCCTCACGCATTAGATCCATGCGGCTTGCGTGAGCGATAATCTAAGTACGTGCGTGTTTCTTTCTCATGATCCATCGAACACCCCGATTGAACAACTGACACAATATGCAGACGATGAAGCTTAGTGAAGACGTTACCGATCGACATTTGTATCCATGATGTTGTATCCTTGGGTTTAAGAAACCATTATGCCGAAATTATTCTATTTCGGTGAAAACGGGCTGCTGAGCACTGTACAGGGTATATTATCGTAACATCATTATTCCAGGTTTTTTTACTTGTAGTTGAGTAGGCTTACATCATTTCCTGGAACTCAGATGATGTGCGCTGTAATTAAACTGGCACTCAATGAAATATCAAAGGATCTCCAACAGATCACCGAAAGTCTGTTGAAAATTCCTCGTCATTTCCATCGATCATAACCGCATATACGCAATGCAGGAATGACATCGCCGTATTCAGCGAAAGTTCACAATCATTAAAGTCGCCGTCCCTGAAAGCGATCAACAGGACAGAGGCTATCATATTGTTTCAATCTGCGCTTAATTTGGGAAGAGACTATCGGGTCTTTTGCTGTGATGACGTCACTCCAACCACCCCTCTGGCTCCTTTTGTTTCGTGAATGGTGAAACGCGTCACGGGCTGGAAATGAGTTTATTTGTAGGAAGTCAAAACCAGACTTACCAAGTTAGGTAGTACGTTAACTTGAAACTACCCAGATCCTAGTTTCTTTGTTTATGCATAGTCGAGGCCCATAGTCTATGAGGCCTGAGTCTGAATAGGCCCATAGCTCGAGAAAGAGGCAGAGAAACTTGGAAATTGTATAATCGCTTGCAACTGATAACATGCAAGAAATAATGGCAAAAGAAGAAACAATGTTGAAAAATAGTCACTGGTACGTGCCTGTTCAACTCCGTTCTGCTTATCGATACAGCCGATACATTTGGATTCTTCGTGTGCTATGGAAGGTAATTTTTAAGGGTGGGGAGATTTTAAATACCATAGTTATTATAATAAATATTATTAAGTATAATTGGTCCATGGATGGCCCAACCCATGAATTCATTTCTCTCGGGCTCCTGGAATTCAATTTCGGCAAAAATGCGACGTCGCAATGTGGAACCGGAGAAGTTGAAGGCTGGGAACGGCAGCAGCGCCTTTGATGCCCTAATGGGCTTTTTTCCCTGTACACCTACCATGTCTGGATGATCATACGTTTAAATGTGTAAGTCTGATCAGTTTTGTCTCACAGCATTCTAAACTCCAAGTTCCAGGTGGAAAGTCGCAACAGCAGACAAATGCAGCCCCTCAAACAACAAATGACTCTTCGACCGTAGTAGGAAGCGAAGGAACAGGATTGGCTCCATCGAGTCTCTCGTCCACCCCTTCATCGAATCCCAGCAATCTAACCTCTGGTTTCTCGTCCACGATGACAGCAAATGCCAACATTACTATTTCTGACTTCTCTCCATCCATGACAGTAAATTCAAGCAGTTCAATATCTGGCTTCCCAGCTTATTTCAGAAGCTCAGCTGCTGCGACGAATAATGTTGGGAGTACACTTCCTGTCCCCACATCAACCACAACAATAGATGCAAGCAGCACATCTGCTGCCCCCGCATCCACCGCCAAATATACCGCTAACAGTGCCATCGCTGCCCTAGCATTCACCGCAACACCGATTGCAAGCATTACAACTCTTGCTGCAACATCCGCCAAAACAAAGACTGCAAGCACCAGAACCGCTGTCCTTACGTCCACTTTGGCAATAGGCGCTAGCAATGGAACTGGAAACAATGCGGCTCTCGTACTGAGGGTAAATCGTCTCTGTGTTGACGATCTATACGAGGGTTGAATGAAATGAAGTGGCAACACCGCTGTGGAATTTGCAGGACGGTTTTAAAGCGAACTTTCGCGCACAGTGCTGCTAGGAGATCATGTCTCCATTGAACATTGTTTGGCTGAGAGGTTTCACAGTCTTCTCTAAGGCGTCTTCCTGGTACACTTTGGCAGATATCTTCACTCCTTGCTCGCAAAAATGCAGCTTGGTGACACCCTCATAGCTCATACCCAGGAAACCATGACGGAAACAGGATGGTGACCTCTCTTCACCTTATGGATGACTTCTGCAGCTTCCCGAGAGTTGTGGGCATACTCTTGGTCGTTTTGCTGGTTGTATTTTTCTTCAATTGTGAAAATTTTCACATCAGTAAAGAGGATTTCGTGGTGTCTGTTTTGCGCGTACCTCTGCAGCAACACTCTCGATCGCGACTGATTTCTTTCAGAGATGGAGTCAGCGTGTGTCCTGTGCTTCTTCGGTAAGCACCCATCCTTAGGTCTGATTTAATCAACCGAGACATGCTTCTAGTCGAGATAGTTATTTCCCTGGCCATCACTTTCTGCTTGCAGAGTTCGCCGAATCTCGTACTCTCTGGGTGTCATTGTTACGTTTGATTGCTCGGTAAACAAACTACCGACTGATTTAAAGTGACTGCAAAGTCTTGAAAATGGTTGAAGGTTTCTGACCCACTTTGTGGAGGGCAATCACTGCTATACGATTCTCCTTGTCACCCCACTCCATGTTTACTGCACGCTACACAACAGTCAAAATGTTACCAAGCAATACGGTGGATGATACATTGCAGGATTACTAACCTACTATATTCTAGCTTTTCTAGGCTAGAAGACTAGGAAGATGTAAATATTGTAACTGTATTTATGGCAGAACTAGGTATACATGATGCATGCATTTGCCTGGTCAGAAACGATATCCACACCTTTTCTCTAATTATTGATTGCACCTATGCCTGACCAAGTTTTGCTGCGTACCAGCTACACACGTAATACCAATGTAAACATCCGTGAGGAAGGTGGAGAGACTTCCTAATAGTATAATAATAGCTTTGCGAAAATGGCTGTTTGCATTGAAATAATGCCCGAAACACGACAATTACCTTGATGATACTCTTCATCCGCGATCCGTTTTTCATCATGAGAGGCCATTGACTTCGAAACCAAATTATCCCTCTCTTAGTTTGAAATGGATTCCCTAAGTCTTCCGGTGGCAGTCCTATTCCTTTCCTTCCCTCCAAAAATTCATCGACGCCATATAAAATATAAAATATGACACCGTATTCAAATATCAAGGCCGATATTTGAATCAAACTCCAGCACGCCCAGAATGAGCAAGAACCTTTATCATGGCTGAGCTAATCCAAGAGTGTTAACGGTCTAGTAACGATCACCCTCGATCATGTTCCGATTCATGCTCAGAGGTAAGAGTTGCACTAACTCTAACCTAGGACCTGACTCATATTTTTCGATCTATCCTTGATCTTCAAGGAAGCCCCTCGAGTGAGGGAAGCAATGGATCCGGAAATTTGTGACGTGCAAGTGTTCGAGACGCGATCCACCTCTTCGAATCGGCAATAAATCTTCCGATTCAGCGAGAGATCTTACCGAGCGATACCACACCCTTCTAATGTGACGAATTTGAGATAGATGCGGTCACCGCAAAGTATAATAAAACTTTTCCCGATGCTCGAGAGAGTGCAGATTTAGAAAACAAGAGTTAATTGGGGGAACAGAGAGTCTCTGGTCACTCATTCCTGCTCCCTGTTCCGAATTCCGCTAATTCGTGGAAGGCATTCCGAACCTAATGTTGATTGATATACTGAAGCTAGCTTTTCCATAGTCAATCATGACTTCGAGAATTGCAACTCAGTTTCGATAATCTACCTCTGTGATTTTAAGAGAAGGCACTGGAAATTCTCGGTTAGTCTCGGTCTCTGTCATTTTTATATCATAGATGTTCGGCTCAACAAAATATGGTTATTTTTCAAACAGACTTTGGTAGGAAGAGAATCTAGACGGGCTTCACCCCTCCGGATATCTCAAGAGGTGGATTTGGAACCAGGTGGACATCCCATCGGGTGGAAATCCACTACTCCCCCCCACTCCGGAGGATTTCCACCCGGAGGATTCCCACCTGGTTCCAAATCCACAGGGGGGATGTTCTTATCCACCCCCGGTGGACGTTTTAAGGGATTAATTAACTCGGAAAGAAAGAACCAGAATATGATGAAGAATTTCAGATAGGAAATTTCCAGAAGAGCAAGGCACAAACCAGACTGGAGGCACACAATTTCAAACGCACGAATGAGAGCAGGTTTATCTGCTTGCGCCGACCAATCGCGTGCCTCCTGGGGCGGAGCCTACTGGCATTGACATTCGGGGTCCGCCAAGGCCACAGTTTGCTCAAGGAGCAGTGGGCGATCTACCGTGGAATGATCTCGTCGGCATGACATCTCTCTGTCGCTGATGGATGGATACGGTCAACATTTCCCGCCGAACGGGAATCGGCCGAAGAAGAACCTGTGGACGACCGTCAGGGGGAGTAGCCGGGATTTCTGGCTCTCGACCTCAATTCCGGGACTCACCAATGCCAGGAGACATCAAAATCCCGCTCCGAAACTGGTGAGTGTTACGTCACTAGAAATCGTGTATCAAACTAAATGGGTTTTATATTAACATTTGCTTGCTTCTGTGATTCAAGTTCATTTAAAATCATTGCGATTTTGTTAGTTTGGGAACATACATCACTTTCTTAAAGAGGAAACAGACACAACTCGGCTCAATCAAATAAGATATTGGCATTACTTGTGAGTCGAAACAAATTTTTTATTCGTAGATGAATTTCTTCTGTAAAAATGGGAAATATTCAGCGTCGAAATAAACACTAATGATTATTATGACAAGATAGGGTGTCAAAAATTAATTTTCTATTTCCAGCTTTGTTACAAAAGGTTTTCAGATTTTTCTTCAAATATTTATTTAGCTATGGTTGACGGTGTTCCTTATCGGAGCGGCTTTCACGGTGTACTCGGGTTACCAAGTGGTGGCGGATTACCTTTCCTACCCGGTGATCACATACGTATCCATGAACCACGCCCCAAGGATGCCTTTCCCGGCCGTCACCGTCTGCAACTCGAATCCCATCGTCTGCTACAAGCTGGCCCAGTTCCGAGATCAGCTACCAGAACTGTGGAATGCATCTGGCTGTGAAGTTACTTCAGCGATGTTCACTAAACTCACTATGGCCCTGACGACATTGAATGCAACGGAATTCAAGGCAGCACTCGATCGGTAATTTCCAAGGCACTTCCTCATTTGCATCGACCATAATCTAAAGCCAGTATGTATAAGCATAGTCAGTAAGGAATTGGAAGAAGTCAAAACCAGCCCTTGCAAAACGTCCACCTGCATCCATCCGGCTGAACGACCACGAGGATAGTAGGTGGATTTGTTACCGGGTGGATGTTCCACCTGGTCATTCGTGCACGTGCACGTGCCAGGTGGATGTTTTCCTCAAGTGTATTTTTTAAAACCGAGTGGTCATTGCTTCAACTGGTGGAAATACACCTAAGGGAACATCCACCTGGTTCTAAATCCATCTGGTTTCAAATTCATCCTGCCGATGGACGGTTTCTAAGGATGTACTGAAAGAGGTCGATAAATGTTTCGCCAAGGCAAGACATGTCTCGCTCCAAATTCTAGCCTAATCTTCGGGGCCTCCCATGCGCGGTCTTGCTCACGCTTCGAGTGCAATGGCATGTTCACTTTGCCAGACACATTTGGCATCATACCGGTATAAACTCGGAGTCTTTGTACGGAGAGTGTTCTTAGGATGGGTGGCCTTTGAGGAATAGCATGAATTGAGGTATTGAGATTAACGAAATTTAAAGTTTAGAGACCAGAAGAAGAACGTAAAGAAATTATTGGGCCAACTACACTCCATAGTAGTAAAGTAGCCGATTTACTGTACACTGTAGTCACGGTATTTAGTTCTTTATTAGTTACTCTAATTGTCTTTACTTGCTGTGAAACATTGTCACTATCGGGCTTGCTCATGAAACAGAGAAAACAATTCCAGGCTTAAATCCCAGGAAATCTTAAACTGAAGTTAGTTCCACATGTTCCACGATTAGACCCAAGGATTCAGCCGAAGTTATGATGGACTGCTTTTTGGTTACTTACGGAATATGAGTTACGATTTAAAAAAAAAAAAACAGCGTTGCGAGAAACGTATTTCAATTTTAACTTCAAAAATGTTACCCGAAAATTTGAATCCGAAAAAAAAAATCATTTTATTTTCCTTCAATTGGTTTTTCACATCGGAAAACATAACAAAATGAGAAAGATCATGCAAAGTGGAGTCATGCGGCGTACGTAGTTGTTCAACTATTTATTTTGCCTTGGGATGCAACTTAAATAATTGGGATTCGTCTCGCAATAGGCAACAATTTTTTTTCTGGTGAATCGAGTTTTTTCATCTCAAAAAGAAATTGCCATTCGACAGAATAATCGTTTTGTGTGTGGTCGATTCACGACGAACGCAATTTTTTCAGACCAGAGTGGGTTGTTGTGATGTGGCAGGTACTTGCAAGGAGAAATGGGAAACATGACCGACTTGGTATTTGCCATTGTGGATGATGCTGGCGACTACTCGTATGCGGGAGAATTGACGTCTCTCCTGAATTTCCTCCCCGGCAATGATTCTTCACCTATGTTGCATATGATTCTCAGCGCTTGTTTGTGTGCGGAACCTGCGGCGTTCAAGGCTGGGAACGGCAGCAAAGCCTTTGATGCTCTCATGTCCTATGCGAAGGGTACTTTTACCTTATCTTGATGCTTTTCAACCTTGAAAAACATTAAAGCGACTTTGGAACATTCGAAATGCAATGTTGCAGGTGCAGCTGTGGCGACAAGCGGGACACGTCAAAGCATGGGAGCGGGAACAGCCGGGGGTTCGTTAAATTCTGGAGGGTCTTCGAGCCGTAATTCTGTTGCCTCTACATCGAACACAACGGTAGCTGGGAGCATTACAACCGCTGCTCTTGGATCCGCTACATCAGTAGGCACTATTGTAAACAATTCGAATCTAGCGGGAAGGGTAAGTCCTATTCCAGCTGATGAGCTGTATAAAACTCATCGCTGAAATATTTTGAATGAATATGTCTGTCTATATATATATATATTTTTTTTTTACAGAGGAAGAGATCAATAGCAGGTGCTGGGAACACGGCAGGGACTTATAATCAGGGTGCTCAGGAAAACAGTACTTATGGGCAGGGAAGCAATCCTCATATCCAGGGAAACGGTCCGGTAGACATCGCCTCTGCAACCACATATTACGTGAAAGTGAGTGCTCTAGCAATGGTGTTCGTCACGGCTCAAAGAGAAGACTGGGTTTCAATTATTCCTGCCCATGGAAAAAAACTGAGGTTGGGAAATAAATTAAACCAAAAGCCCTTTTATCGTTAACTATATACCACTTTGCAACTAAAACGCATCAGAAACATGGCCCGCAACAGCAACACAAATAGCTGGAAGATTAGCGGAGTGGGCTAACCTTAAAAAACTTCCACCCCACCCCACCCCGTGTGGATTTGGAACCAGGTGGATGTACCTCTAGAGCAAGGGTTGGGAACCTATGACTCATGAGCCAAGTCAAGGCTCACAAGTCGAAAGCTTGGCTCATTGAGTCATGCCTGAAAATCATGGTTATTCCTAATTTTTCTCATGTATCAATAAATGCATGTCTGTTGCCAACTTCAGGAAAAATTATATGCTGAAAATCTTTCACTCATAAGCAATTAGCTCGATCTTAATATGGCTCACAGTGCCAAAATGGCTTCCGACCCCTGATCTAGAGGTATTTCCGCCTGTTGGAGCTATGTCCACCAGGGGGAAAATCCACCTGGTTCGAAATACATGTGCGCGATTAGGCAGATGGATTTCCACAGGGTGGGACGTCCACCTGGTTCCAAATCCACCGCATATCCACCTGGTTGCTCAGCCAGATGGAGGCAGGTGGACATTTTGTAAGGGTAACCAAGACCTTTTGATGAGAATTTCTTCTGCACCTCGAGCAATGTGGAACGCCACTGCCGTTGCTTGGTGCACTAATCTGTGCTTTTGCTTCACCAATCCCAAAGAGAGGGAGAAAATAATTGTTTTGAAATAAGTTTCATTTCGGCAAGGGACCAAGGGACCATTCAGGTTCCTCGGCATGGGGGGGGGGGAGGGGGTCTAATCAAATTTTGACACCCAGTATTCTGCTTCCTAATATTATGCATTATTTTGCATGAGAATTTCGCATGCACAGTACGTGAAGCTGATGGAAGCCTTCTCCAAAGTGAATGACTCACTGAAGCAAAGAATCACGCCTTCGTTGACAATGCTAATCTGGAGATGCACCTTTCAAGGCACCGACTGCTTGCAGGACGGGTGAGTTCTATCGGAAAGTAGTAATGCATTAAATCTATTGTGATTCTGTTGTAGACATCTCTTCGTGATCCGCCACCACTGAAATTTCCCGAGTTTTCTTAAATTATTAGGTGATGCTTATAGGCATTATAGCATCAGAACACCGCTTGTCTCGGAGGAAACACTAGTTAAATTCAACTTTTTTTTATATATATCGTTCAGATGCAGCATTTTTCTTGCAGGTTTTTCCAGAAGATAATGACGCCACAATATGGTGCTTGTTACATGTTCAACACAGCCTGGAATCCAAGCGATTCGGATGGAGGGCAAAGGATATCGGGCAAAACTGGAGAAGAAACAGGTCAAAAGGACCAACATGAACTTTTCTACTTATGCGGCTTCTCCTAACTTTGTTTCATTTCCGAGCAGGCTTGTCACTGGAAGTGTTTATAGACCAGGATAACTATATCCCAAACCCGATTTCATCGAGTGCCGGAGCCCGAATCACCATTCATTCCCCGGACCAATTGCCGAATCCTGTGGAACAGGGATACTTCGTTCAACCCAACACTCACACTGTCTTTGGTTTACAAATTGTAAGGATGAAAATGATTTGAAACTCACCTTCTTTTCCTCCATTTCGGCCAATTTACATACGCCTCAAACATCCTCACGTTTTCAGGTGAACATGTCCAGGTTGCCGAGTCCCTACGTCACCAACTGCGTTTCGAACTGGACTGAGACCGACTTCGAACCCCTTCCTTCTGGATTTAATCAAAATATCAGCAATCAGAATTTCATCTTCGGCTACAGTCAAGTCGTGAGTCAACTTCTCTCTTAGATTATGTATTCACTGCACTGTTCCTCGATAACTTGACTGCACCGAAAGCGTCCGTACTTTCCCTACCGTGTGAAAAGAGGCAAAAAATTTTCCACTAAGTTTTGACTTTGTGTGGAGAAATTTTTTCATGCTTATTGTAGCAATGCGAAAGGCTGCGACTAACGGCCGAAATCGCCAAAATTTGCAACTGTTGGAACCCTGAAGTCCAGGACTCTTTTCGCCACAACGGATCATCCTATCAAGGTCTCAGTCCGTGTAATATCAACGTCGGAGGTAAGGTGATAAATCAAAGAGAAATAAATGCATTCCCGCCCAAAGTACTCCAAAGAATGTTCCATTTCCAGCCGATGATCAGGTGTGCATCGCGAACGTGTCAGCGGCCCTCCAGAGCGAGAACATCGTCTGCGGTCCTCCTTGCGGGTGAGCCACTGTAACTGCTTTAACGTATCCCGAATTCGAGGTTGAAAGATGCAAAGTTGAAAGGCAGAAAGATGTGCTGGGCGAAGGAAAGGAATCTGTGCAACAACAATAATCGGGGAAAATCAATATTTAGTTGTATTCAACATGTAATTCACTTCATATATAAGTGAGTATAAGGTATAAGGGATCCCCCTTCTCCTTATGCGTGATATTGGGAGCCCATTACCGGAGTCTTCACGTGTCCAGTCACGCACACATCTCCATTTAGATATTCTCCAATAAAATTTCATCGGAATTAAAGTAGATCAAGATCTGAAAAGTACGGGAAGAATACCTTGGGATATAGTTTCATATCTGGATTCAATAATCCCATTAACTGTTCGTTCAACCAACCTTGTCCTTTCATGTGATACTAAGACCAATAATGTCTGGCGTGACCAGCACTGCCGTTGCCTCCCTTCACTATCAGTGTGGGATGACTACTGTTGGACTAATTGACCAGATCAAGAATTAAAATATAATCTTAAAATCGTGATATTAATCCCCTCTTCTTGGATATCGACAGGATTGCATTAAAATGAACTGCCTATTTGCACACCGGTCAAAGTGGGAACTTCCCCCCCCCCCCCATGAGTAAATATCTGTGAGGAGGTTGGGGCAACAACCAAAGAATTAGCTTTATCCGGAAACAACGCCGTTTGTACTGGGATGACGCACAAATTAAAGCGATCGAACCTATGATGGTCGCGCTGCTCTTCGCATTATTCCCAGTTTTACACGATAAAGAGCGATTTGTGCATCTCCTCGAACAAACTAGTTACAGTTCTTTATTTCTTCCTAGAAAATTTCCAAACGATGTGGATCACTAAGGGTGACTGGCGATCTATTGACTAATGAATGAGAATTATCTTGATCAGGAAAGTCAGATCAAGGCAATTACCGTATGTACCAAAATCGTTTAGACCAAAAGAAGGAATCTCATCGATCTCAGAGAGAAACAGCTCCTAATGGAGACAATTTCGCATGCTTTCCGCATATTGACGTGGAATTAACAGAAGCAATTATGAAAATTTCTTAATTTTTTTCCAGGGAGATAGCTTATGATGTCGCAGTATCCACTTCAACTTGGCCGTCGGAGAGTTATTTTGTAAGAGAAGTCTCCCCAGCTTAAATTGCTCTTTTTCTAATTTGATAATAGATACCAAGCGGAATCCTTTTTTTTTTTTAGAATACGCTGATGTTACTACAGGGCAAAAATCTTGGAATTGAAGATATCATCGCGCAAGTTCTTAGTGACCCTACGATGTCTGCGACGGTCAAGGGAACCATGCAGAAGGACATGCTGAAAGTTGAGATCTTTTTCCGCTCCCTCAATCTGCAAGTCATCCAGGAAAAACCGAAATACGACGTAAGAGGGTTTACCAAAATAGACTCTTTAAGGATTTCCAATGCCGATACGAGACGATTCAGTTTGGTTTCTGCTAGTTGTATGGACTGGTGAGCAACCTGGGAGGAGTAGTCGGGATCTATTTGGGGATGTGTGTCGTGATGCTCATCGAGATCCTGGAATTCCTCGCTTTTCTCCTCTACGACATCATCCGGTATTTCCTCGGAAAGGATTCGCGTGATGAACAACAGATTGGGGGCCTACACAAGAGCAAGGAGCTTGGAGCACCTCCCGCCAATAAATCCTACAATCAGATCATCGCCTCGATGTACCCTGTCTCTCAAGATCTCCCTCCTCCCGTTTACCATCGCAAAGTGTGGGGCAGTCAATGAGTAGTATGGACTGCACAGCTAAAAGGCGAGCGTATGAAATATACATATCATGCACGAAGAGAATTGGTCAGAAACTATATCCACACCTTTTCGCTTATTACTACTTACACCTATGCCTGACCAATTTTGCCAAGTAGTCGGAGTAGGTTTCCGAAGAGATCCGTCTCGTCTGTTTGGACGTCCTGATCGACTGTCAACACTCGTTCGTCCATTTCGGAATCTTTCTATCTACTCGTACACTTTTCGTTGTCAAACACCATAATATACTCACCATACTGAGCTAACAGTCGTTTCTGAATATCCGATGGTTTAACACCATTCGTCCAAGAAAACGGATAACAGACGCCTTCTCTTCCTTGATGCTCACAGAGAGCATACTCGCCATGTTGATTTGGGGTCCACAAGGGCTACCAACGACATTCCCTCTAACTAAATCGCGTATTTTAAAATAAAATTGATCAGTCTTTGCACGGATTATGTGGTTTCCTAGGTATAGGCTCACATGGATGACTTAGACAGGAATTGCCTTTACTTTTTGAAACACTCTGGTATTGATATTTTCCTGTTTTAGTAACTGGTGTGATCCATCATTGAGAATATGGATCCCTATTTTGACCGTAAAAATACTTGAATTTTCTCAACAGGAATTAGGATATACTGTATGTACAAGCATTTACGTAAGCATGCGATCCTTCGTGGGGATAGAAATAGACAATTGGTACTGCTGTTGGCTTCGGGTTGGATCTGCTCGACAATGCAAGGCTCAAAAGGCACTCTGTCTTTCAGTGTCGAGCGAGATAAGGTCCCTTGAAGGTACCGTCTGATTCCATTCAATATTATTGATCTCGTTATCATGAGTTCGTCTTATTATCCGTAGCGTGAATTACGGCTCTGAATGCCAGAGCATTTGCGTGCATGAACTCCTAGGCACCTGCATAGTATTTGCTTTGGCGTGTCGCTCGCAGCCGACAGAGCGATCCCGAGGAATTGCGAAGAAATTTGCCGGTCACCTGAATCAACAGTCGTTCCTCACGCATTAGATCCATGCGGCTTGCGTGAGCGATAATCTAAGTACGTGCGTGTTTCTTTCTCATGATCCATCGAACGCCCCAATTGAACAACTGACACGCCTGCAATATGCAAACGATGAAGCTTAGTGAAGACGTTACCGATCGGCATTTGAAAGCCAAATTTTTATGCATGCTATTTATTACCTTGACGAGGATGTAGCAGATGCTTGTACGAATTTGGAACCAGAAGTGCCGGAAGATTGGAAGATGCTCAGTTGCGAAAATGCGATGGTATCGAGCACATTCTAAAAATGATTTCCTTTTTAAAATAAAGTCCATGTTTCCCGTGCTTCCAGCTTCATTGGACACCTCATCGCGATACTGGCGTGACGGGCGATACTCGAATCAAACTGCAGCACGCCCAGAATGAGCAAGATGAGACTTTCGTATTGCTAGAGCTAATACAAATTTAATATATTGCTCGGAAAGATCAGAATGTGAATATAAGGTGTATCGCAAACTTTCACGTCTCCTCTACAGGTAAAACCAGAAATGGACGTGTTTGCAGCATATTGTGACTACCCGTGGATTAGCAAAGTCGTTTAGTCACAATATGCTTCAAATACTGTTAATTGCGAAAAGACATCGATGTCAATTCTTCGCCGGATTCAATCAAGTCTCAACGTTTCAACCGTTTCTCAATGTTGACGCAACGTGGCTGTGCCGAATGGGTCGTTTTTTGAAGTGAATTTCGTTCCGGTATTTTCCGCCCCGCCCCGCCCCGCCCCGCCCCGCCTCGGTTGCCACTCCTGGTGGTTTTCTGAGGATATGGCCCCATTAAAAGAAAAGTTTTTAAATTCAAGTCTCGATCAGTGCCCTTTTGTTGTTTTCGAAGCATCATTTCCCCATGGAAAATGAAATTAGCTGTCGTCCATGTAGACTTAGGATGCCGCCTCCAGTCCAACAGAGTTTCCGGATATCGTGCTGGAGTTATGTCGGAATCTTTATGATGCATTACGTGCAGAGTTTATGGGAAGATGTGAGATTCAAACGGTGGTTAACCATGGCCGATCGACATGGACATATGATGCAAGGTCATCCCCGAATCAACAGTATGGCCAACAACATGAATTTGAATTTCGGAGGCAGTCGGACCAAATCCGAATCGAGATTGTTCGAGAAACAAAGCTGACAGCGAATCGAACTGGATGTGGTCGTCGAGCCGCATTTTTCAATCGAGCCGGAAAACTTTTGCCTGAAAGCTATACACGGCAGATGTACAAAATTTTACAGATCTTTTCAACGTCTTTCTTTTCATATATAACATAGCCACAGAACAAGCTTAGGCGGCGCGGCACGAACCCCTCAAGCTTAACCCACAAAAAGTTCCGGATACTTTTTCCCAAACCTAATATATATGAGGCATGCCTGGTCAGAAACGATATCTACACCTTTTCCCTAATTATTGGTTGCACCTATGCCTGATCAAGTTTGCTGTGTACCAACTACCCACGTAATACCAATGTAAACATCCGTGAGGAAGGTGGAGAGACTTCCTAATAATATAATAATAGCTTTGACTGAGAAACATGGCTGTTTGCACTGAAATAATGCGCGAATTACGACAATTACCCCGATTATACTCTTCATCTGCTTCTCATTTTTCACCATGAGAGACCTTTTACTTCGAAACCAATTTATCCCACTCTTCATTCGTAATCCATAAGTCTTCCGGTAGCAGTTCTATTCCTCCCCCCCCCTTCAAAAAATTCATCGACGCCGTTTATCACAAGGAGTGACGACCGAAACTTGAATCAAACTCCAGCACGCCCAAAATGAGCAAGATGAAAACTTTTATCATGCCAGAGCTAATACAAGAGTAATTTATTGTTCGGAAAGGTCAGAAGGTGAATTGAAGGTGTATCGTAAACTTTCCCGTCTCTCCGCCCAATAAGGTTTGGAAGCTCATTTCAAACAGTATTTTTCCTATTAGTTTCACAATTTGAAGTGAGAACGCCAAAAGGTTTACAGTACAGGATTAACACCATAGCTTTTCCCTGCAGATTCCTATTGCTTGGAGAGTTTTGTTGAAATGGCTTCATGGTTATCGAGAAATGTGATCAGATAGTGTTCCAGAAGGTGGCGGCAGGGTGGGATTTAAATTGATAGTGTATATATATAGATAATAGTGTCATGGTGGGTATACTTTTTGCAAATTCGTTTTTCATCATATATGATTTGCGCTTAATAGCTATTAAACGGCTTGGATAATCCACGGGTAATCACAATATGCTGCTAATACTGTTAATTACGAATAGCCAGCATTTCATTGATGTCGATTCTTCGTCGGATTCTCAACTTCAACCAAGTCTCAACGTTTCAGCCTTTTCACAATGTTGACACAAAGTGGCTATGCCGAATGGGCCGTTTTTTGAAGAGTTGAATTTCATTCCGGTATTTTCCTCCCCGCTCCGCCCCGCCCCACCCCGCCCCGCCTCGGTTGCCACTCCTGGTGGTTTTTCGGAGGATATGGCTCCATTAAAAGAAAGATATTTAATTGCAGGTCTCGATGAGTGTCTTTTTGTTGTTTGTGATGCATCATTTCCCTATGAAAAATGAAATTAGCTGTCGTCCATGTAGACTTAGGATGCCGCCTCCAGTCCAACAGAGTTGCCGGATATCGTGCTGGAGTTATGTCGGATTCTTTATGATGCATTATGTGCAGAGTTTATGGGAAGATGTGAGATTGAAACGGTGGTTAACCGTGGCCGATCGATATGGACATATGATGCAAGGTCATCCCCGAATCAACAGTATGGCCAACAACATGCATTTGAATTTCGGAGGCAGTCGGACCAAACGGATATCCGAATCGACATTGTTCGAGAAATAAAGCTGACATTTCAGACAAGCCTAACGTTGCGCTAACTGAAATGGTTCAATGTCGGATGTTTGCTTCACTTACGTGGAGAAGAGGGAACGGCACATGGTCAGGAATCCTTTAATTCCTTTCTACGTGGATTGCCGCCCCTTCTCGACTTACGTGATGATTGATGTCAACTGTAAAGATCTGTTCGAATGTCAGCTTTACCAGTCATAATTATCCGTGAGAAACGATGTCTTCTGCACTTATATTGGATGAAGGGCGGTGCCTTATTGATTGGAATTAGTGCCGAAAGGTTTTCCTCTCTGTTAGTAATATTCGATCTCAAGAACAAACGAAGATCCTCGAAGCACGTATTTTTTCATCTCCAAAAGTACTACTGAAGGTCATTCCTTATGAACATGAGTCAACTCTTGGATTCCGCCATTCTTCCGATGCGATTCCCACTGAAGGAGAAATCTTATTAATTTTAGCAGCATGACAACTTCATGTTTCGTTAGTGCTTCTGATGTCGAACAATTCTGATAGGTGAAAAATTGGGACTTGCGTGACATGTCTCATCTATAGGTTGAAGGAAATTGCCATCAGTTAAAGCGCAAACCCTTCATTAATCATCATGTATCGCGATCATGCATTCATTAATGATTTATTTCTTACATTAGTCCCGGATCACGCAACATTTGCATTGGTGCGGCATTCTCCAGGCCCGGGGAGGAACATACCCAATAATGCGAATCAACACCTTCTCCCATTTAATGGAACTGCGCAGGGTGGCAATAGCAAAGCAGAGGACTGGAGCAGTCCACAGTTGAAAGAACAGGGGACACACCTCCGAGGAACCTCGAAGCATACAGGCAACATGGACTCAACGACCCGGATGGGGAAGCGGGTGGGTCCGGTGGCGAATCCGACAGTGGACGGTCGGGATTTCTTCGATAAGCGACGAAGCAAGTCTCTGTGGAAGGCCGTTCAGGATCGTTTCCAGGAATACTGGACCAGCAGTTCCCTCCCTGGGATCACCAATGCCAGGAGGCATACGAATCCTGGACTCAAACTGGTGAGTGCAGCGGGATCGTCGAGTGCCAAATTTTTGTCGCTGTGTCGGA